AAGTACTTTTCGCACCATAAAACTAATAATTTTAAAAGACAGATCTCCACATTTTCTCAAAAGGATAGTGAAACCTTATACCAAGCATGGGAGAGTTTTAAAGAATTACAAAACTTGTGTCCACATCATGGGTATGAAACTTGGAGGTTGGTTAGTTATTTCTGTGAGGGTTTAACTAGTAAGGAGCGTCAATTCATAGAGATGATGTGTAATGGGAAATTTTTGCATAAGGACCCAGAAGAAGCCATAGATTATTTAAATGAGTTAGCTGAAAAAGCTCACACTTGGACAGGACCTAGTGCCACTGATAGTACTAGTAGGTCACGATTATCTAGGATTTACCACCTTAAGGAGGAAGATAACCTTAGAGCCCAATTGGAAACTGCAACTAGGGAACTTGAGACGTTAAAAATGAAAAATAATAGAGTCACCCACACAGTTGCAAGGGTAGAAGCTCAGGCTCCATGTTTTGTTTGTGGGGGATTGGATCATTTAGCTCAAGATTGCCTAACCTATGGTGAGATGAGAGGGGTTTATGAAGAACAATGTAATGCATTAGGAATGGGTAGGGAACCTTTTTCACCCTATTCAAAGACATACAACCCTAGTTGGAGGAACCATCCCAATTTCAGTTGGAAGGCTAATCAAAACCATCCCACATCATCTAGCAATACTTGGAATAGTGAAGCTCAACCACTCAAGCCTTACCTTACACCTCAATACAATGCGCGACTAGATAGAAATCCTTTAGAGGAAACACTTAAGGCATTTATGGAGGCACAAAATAAGACAAACCAAAAGTTTGATTCTATTCTTACACAGGTGGTTGAAGAAAACAAGGATATCAAGAGTCAACTCACTAAGTTGACCAATGCTCTTACTATCCAAGAACGAGGTAAGATTCCATCTCAACCTCAAGCTAATCCTAAAAATTTACATTTGGATCATGTGATTAAACATGTACCAACTTATGCCAAAGTGATCAAGGATCTATGCACCATAAAAAGGAAACACCATGTCAAGAAAACTGCATTCTTGACAGAACAGGTAAGTGCGGTAATTGAGCAAAAAACACCGCCAAAGTACAAAGATTCCAGGGTGCCCAACAATTGCTTGCCAAATTGGGTCACAAGAGTTTGGTCAAGCTCTTTTGGATTTAGGAGCAAGTGTGAATTTAATGCCTTATTCAGTTTATTTGCAACTAGGTCTTGGAGAGATAAAACCCACATCTGTGGTGTTACAATTGGCTGATCGTTCTTGTAGGAAACCAAGAGGGATAGTGGAAGATGTTTTGCTTAAGATTGATAAATTTTATTATCCTGTTGATTTTCTTGTTTTAGATACTCAATCTGAAGTTAATAGTGAGTCAAAGATTCCACTTATTTTAGGAAGG